GTCCCTGTGCTTTGTTAAGCTTGTTCTAAGTAGGTGCTTTAGACCACTGAGCCATCTCACCAGCCCCAGCTCTGACTTTTGGTGATCCTCCTGCTTTCAGTTTCTCCAGTGCTGGGATTACAGGCCTAGGCCCTTATGCCTGGACTGTGTCAGCCCGCTCTGGGAGTGGGGCTGGCGAGGCATGTGGTGCCAGGGATCCAACAGCTGTCCCTGCACTTATCTAAGCTTAACTAAGCAGGCGCTTTAGTCCACTGAGCTATCTCTCTGGCTGCATAAATTGGTGTGGTACTTTTTGTGGCTTGCTGGTACTGGGGATTGCCTCCACAACCTCCACACTAAGCTATATCATCAGCCCTTTTTATCTTTCAGTTTGGAACAGGGTCTTGGACAGGGGCTGTAGACCAGTGGTAGAGCTCTTGCCCACTGGGGGGGGGGGGAAATCCTCCTGACCCAGCATCCTAGAATGCTGGGATTATAGGCATGCACCAACATGCCTAGCTGTTCCTTCAGTTATATACATAGAAATATTGAAAAAGGATCATGAATACCTGCATTTATTCTTTATTTTTATTTTTTTTGCATTTATTATTTTTTAATTTAATTTTTATTTATGTGTGTGTGTGTGTGTGTGTGTGTGTGTGTAGCCAGCTCAGCCCATCAGGGGGCGGGGCTGGGCTGGCTGGCAGGCATGTGGTACTGGGGGATTGAACCGCGGTCCCTGGGCTTTGCTAAGCTTGTTCTAAGTAGGTGCTTTAGACCACTGAGCCATCTCACCAGCCTCTTTATTTCACTTTGAGAATTGATTTCTTTGTATTTTATTTTTATTTATTTATTTTTTTTGCAGAACTGGGAATTGAACTGAGGCTCTTGTGCTTGCCAGGGAAGCACTTATTCCACTGAGCCATCTCCCCGACCCCAATTTATTTATATTTTAAAGAGCATAAATTGCAAAGTAAACTAGGCATATTTGAAGAGAAATATTTGGGATGTTTTGTGTTTGGTGCTCAATAAGAAAATTTAATGGAGAATAGACCTAAGATTTTTCTTAATCCCTTTGGGTACGTACTTGAGGAAGGTTTTTCTTTGTATACTTGCTATTAAAATTATGAAAGGTTAGAGGATTTTTTTTTTTTTTTTTTTTTTTTTTTTCTTTTTGAGACAGGATCTCATGCAGTTCAGACTGGCCTTGAGGTCACTTTATAACCCAGCCTCGTCTTAAAATGATCCTCCTGCTAGCCTCCTGAGTGCTGGGATTACAGGCGTGTACCACCGTGCCCAGCTTCTTTTCTTTTTTTTTTTTTTTTTTTTTTTTTGTTTTGCAGAACCAGGGATTGAAATCAGGACCTCGCCTTTGCCAGGAAGGTGCTTATTCTACTGAGCTCTCTCCCAGGCCCCTATTTTATTTTTTTGAGGAAGGGTCACCCTATGTAGTTTAGGTTGCCCTTCAACTCATTGTGCAGCCCAGGCTGGCCTGGAACTTGCAGTGGTTGGTCCTTCTGTCTCAGCCTCCTAAGTGCTGAGATGACAGGTGGGTGCCTCCATGCCCAGCAGTGTGTGTTTAAAAAGCAGTAACTAGGGCCGGCCACATAACTCGGCAGACTAAAGTGACTGCTTAGGCAGAGCACAGCGGCCAGGGTTTGATCCCCGGTGTGCTGTGGTGTAATCTCAGCGGTTGGGAGGCTGAAAACAGGAGGATCACTATGAGTCCAATCTACATAGTGAGAACCTGTAGTCCCCATAGACTCTGTACCAAATGCATAAAAAATAGCAGTAAGGGGGGCTGGGGAGATGGCTCAGTGGAAGAAGCACTTCTCTGGTAAGTGCAAGGGTCTGAGTTCAGTCCCCGGTTCCACAAAAAAAAAAAAAGCAGTAAGTAGCATGGTACTTTGTGCCAACAGTCCAGTACTCTAGGAAGCAAGGAAGGGGATTACAAGCCTGGCTTGGTCAGTTTAGTGACTTATTGAGATCCTGTCTCATTTATTTTATTTTAATTTTTTTGGTGCCAGGAATCGTACTCAGTGCGAGGCACTGCTCATACTAGGTAGGTACTATATATCGCTGAGCTCTATCCAGCTGTAAACCCCAGTCATGTCCTCTCTCATTTAAAAAAAAAAAATGTTGGGCTGGTGAGATGGCTCAGTGGTCTAAAGCACCTACTTAGAACAAGCTAAGCTAAAGCAAAGCACAGGGACCACGGTTCAATCCCCCAGCACCACATGCTGGCTGGCCCCGCTCCCTGGTGGGCTGAGCTGGCCACACACACACACACATACACACACAAAATAAATGAATAAATATAAAAAAAAAAGATTTAAAAAAAAATGTTGGGGATGTAGCTCAGTGTGGTTTAGGGCCAAAGAACAAAAAATAGCAAAGTGTATTTTTATTTTAGAAACAACATGTGGGTATATAGTGTTATGTTAAGTCTTACGTATAAGGGCCGGGGAGATGGCTCAGTG